AATTTCCCACAGAGACGCATGCCGAGGTGGGAGGACTTCAGGGTGCCGCCCGACGAAGCGGCAGTGGCCGCGCGGCAAGGCAAAAGAGTGACTGTATTGACCCATGTAGATCGAGGTTTGCAGCTGCTAGCAGCTTCCGAAGGGCCTGGCGGACCTCAGCCTCGCCAATCGGGTAGCAACGGCCCGCATGCCATGGATAAGCATGGTCACAAAAAGAAGCGCCCCTCGAGTGGGAGACAGAGCAGAGGCGCTGGAGAAGCCGCTGGAGAAAGTAGCGCGGGTAGGACAGAGGAAGAGAACACCAGCGCAGACGAAGCCGTCTCGCCGCCTGCCGAGAAGAGCGGTCAGCCGCACGTCACGTGGGCGCCCGAGACCGGCTTTACCACCACGACTGAGCGCGAGCTGCCGGGACCGAATGAGTCGCCCGATGCGAATCTGGCAGGGCTCCGCCAGCGGTCGATCGAGAAGTCGGAGCGCGAAGCGAAGAAGGAAGACAAGAAGCAACAGCAGTCTCGAGAGAGCAAGACCGCTGCTGCGCAAGCTGCTGATGTTGCCGCCAAAGCAGATCGCGCCAAGGCTCACGATCGCAGCAAATCCGAGGACCACGGTGCTGATCGGACAAAGCAGACGGATGAGGAGCCTTGGCAGATCATCACGCCTTTGTCGGATGAAGCTGTGGACAATGCAGCCAGCGAAGCGCAGGGTGAACCTCATGTGGACGGTATAGCCTTCTGCATCGCCTACATTCTTGCACTCGTTGAGCGCTACGCACCCGAGGAGCTGGACAGCAGTCCTGATCAAGCGTACCGAGAAAGCAAAACGCGAAGCCACATCGAGCGTCTGTACCTCATCGCGCCCTTTTGGGAGCGTTTGCTCTTCGGTCTGCGCAGACTGTACAGATGGGAGGACACGAAGCGGACTGGCGCAGCTGCGATGATCTACTTTTTGCTCTGGTATACCAACCTTTTGGCGACTGCATTTCTTTTGATGCTCATGTACTACATTCTCCAGTTCCGCTTCTTCCCTCCGGACGCTTCGGTCCTGCACGAACAAGTTCGCAAGCGAATGGCCCGTGGTGTCGAAGCAGATCGACTAGCCGAACGTCTACGGCGCAGAAGTCGGCTCGACATTTTGGAGATTTACAAGCGTTACGTCATGACGTATGGATCCGCCACACAAGCGGCCGCAGGTGACATTGCAGATTTCCACGAAAAGGTCAAGAATCTGATATTGTGGCGTAATCCTACTGCTACCTGGCGGACCCTGACGCTCTTTTCGATTGCGACAGCCCTGGTCACATTTCTGCCGACAGCGGTCGTGGCAAAGATCTTGTGGTTGGTGCTAGGCGTCACCTTCTTCTTGCTGCTGCCGTTGCAGTCACACTACCCACGCTATCGGCGACCTCTAAGCCCCATTTGGTGGGCACTTTGGGGTACTCCGACCGATGCCCAATTCGCTATTCAGCTCTTGCGACGACGACACCTAGAAAAACAGGTCGCTGCTGGTGCAGAAAGCAATGATCCTGCGCTCCAGCAAGAGGGTGAGGAAGTACGAGCGAGCGATTATCGCAGAGGCAAAGAGGGCAGAAAGAGAGGCATGATCAATGTTCTCACCCCTCTCATGAGATCATCTGCTGCGCACGCCGTTGCTTATGGTCCCATGCGACCTCTCAAAGATGGGGAAGGTGGTCTGCTCTCGCTAGAAGATCGCGTCAAAGACAGGCATGGTCACGAGACGGTCAAGCCTCGAAAGCTGGGCAGTTTCTTCTGCCAGCACAATGCGGTGCCGGGCCACCTTCACGTGACGACGCGTATGATCTACTTTGTCGCGCTGCATCATGTCCGGCCCGAAGGTTCGCACAAGTCCTGCAAGACGCCGCTAGAAGAGATTGCGGGACTGGTCAAGACGAAGTCTATACGACTCGTCGTTTGGTCCTCGTCTGGATTGCAGATACAACGCACTACAAAAGGAAGCCTATTCTTTTCGAATATGGCTCATCGAGACGATGCTTTCAACTTGATCTTGGCTATCGGCTCCGAAGTTTGGAGCAAAGTCTAAGATGCGGACGACGGCAAACTCTCTCCTTTTCCGTTTCTTCCTAAGCTTCCACCCGTCATTACCGTGTGCTACCATCTACACCATCCAATCTGCCAATCGGGGCGCCTGATCTGAACATTTCTACCTGTCGCGGATCTTTCAATTTGTCTCTGGTGTTTTCGTCTTCTGTCTACACTCCTTTATTCCTGCCTGCGGTGCACCTTCACTGCTCGACGTACGTGCACCGCTCTTTACCAGTCACTGCTTTGTCACCCTTTCACTTTGCAATGCTTTGTAATATCTCAACAGTCAACAGCGGCTGGAACTGGAATGCTTCATTTGCCAGCGAGCCTTAGTTCTTTGAATATGATCACGATGGCTGTGTCGGTCGAGGAGTGGTGCATGGGCTTTTGCGGAGGTTGTCTTGCGCTGCGCAGACAGACTTGACGCACAACTCGTGGAGCGGTGCGTTAGACACGTGATCCTTGTCGGCAAGGATCGGGAAAGAAATTCAAAGAGGCAGCAACGCGCCCCAGGGCCGGACGCAGGTGGGGTCATCGGTTTACAGTATGTACAGCGCTCGCAACTACAATCCTATGCATGGAAGGAGCGGAGCAACCGCGAATCAGGGAGCTGAGCAATCACAGGGTCACGAGTATCATCAGACTCGATCGTGGTTCTAGCTCGTGCTTTCGCTTGCTCTTGTCGCCCCAGAACTTGAAAGGGTGGAGTCAAGAGTGCTACTGACCGAATGATGAGCATGCAGTTTGAGTAGATGGGACAATGAGATGCAGCAGCAGTGTGAATGTGAAATTTGAACATCTTGATTGTTATTTGTATGCCGGCCATGCTGCAGGTGCTCCGCGGCTCTGCT